GTTTTCACCCCACCACGTCCTGTTTTTCCTCAGCCCACTCCAGATGGGTTTTAGTCCCCCCTCCACTGACACGGCACTTGTCCCAGCCACCAGGGACTCCATGTTGCCAGTTCAGCACACACCTCTCATCCCTTTTGTGCCCAGCCGCCCGACATCGGGCATAATTCATTTCTCTCTCTGTCAGGAAGCACTTGCCTTTCTTGGTTTCCGGGACAGTACGAGTTTCTGGTTTTCTTCCTGCCTTGCTGATGGTTGCTCGTTGGTCCCCTTTGCTGGCTTCTTGGCTCTACCTTTAGATGCTAGAGTGCCCCACCCCAGCCCTTGGCCTTGGATTCTCTCCTCATTTCCTCGGTATACCATTTCTTTAATTGATTTTGTCATTTCCCTGGTTTTATATTCTAGCTATATGCTGATGATTCTCAAAATTATAACCCCAGCCCTGATGCCTTCCTGGACCTCCAGATTCATATATCCCATGGCTTACCTGGCATCTTCATTTGAATATCTAATAGGCATTTCAAAACCAGCATATCCAAAACTGGGCTCTTGAGTCTCACTCCCCACCTCTAACCCGTTGTTTTCCTCCCAGAGTTTCCAGATGGCTTCAGCGTTTACCCATTTACTGCAGGCAATAACTTAGGAACTATTTCCAGTTTTCCTTTTTTCCAGCCCCGACCTCTCCCCCTGGCGCCCACATATCTGCCTTTGCCTTACCAACCGTGGTGATCCCTTACTCCGTGTTAGTGACTAGAACTAGGTCAAGACCAGCTGGCAGAAGGGGTTAGTTTACGAATGTCGTGTGACTTCTGTCAGGTCAATTATACTGTAAGGTAGAGGTTTCTGGAACTGTGGGGGAAACATTTCTCTTTTGAAAATGTCTGTGAGGAACCTTGTGGCCCACAGTTCCACAACCCACCACCCAATGATCCTATTCAAAAAGAATCAGCCAGGGGTGCCTGGGAAGTTCATTCGGTTAAGTGTCCCACTTCGGCTGAGGTCATGATCTTGTGGCCTGTGAGTTCAAGCCCCACATGGAGCTCTGTGCTGACAGCTCGGAGCCTGGAGCCTGCTTTGGATTCTGTATCTCCCTTTGTCTCTGCCCCTCCCCTGCTCATGCTCGCTCTCGCTCTCTCTCTCAAAAATAAACAAATGGTAAAAAAAAAAATTTTTTTTTTTTAAATTCCCTGAGGAGGGAGCTGAACTGGATGGCAGAGTAGAGAGGAAAGAACCCGGATCGTAGATAATGTAGTTGGTTGGCTGGATCACTCAACCCTATAACCCATCCTACATCTGGGTTTCCGGTTCTGGGAGACAGTAAGCTTCCATACTGTTTAAGCCACTTTGAATTGATTTGTTGTTGTTGTTGTTGTTTCTTATAATTGAAAGCAAATTAATAGATGCAAAGAGAAAGGCAGGTCCTCCATGGAAAGAGTCAGGAAGT